GCCGGGTTGGCCGCTCACGGACGGGCACTCCTCTCCCCCACCAGGAGCGCGAGCCCAGGCCCGTGGCACCCCAAGCCTGGGCCAGTGGGGGTCCAGCGCTCTGATTTCCAAAGGGGCTGCTGCCCCCCTGCCGTTCGGAAGGGTCTGTGTGGACAAAGGCTGCAAGCCACCGCCCTGGGGTCCAGCAGCTGCGGCGGCGCAGGGGACCAGCCACTGCTCACGCCTTGCCCCTCTGACCCACCTCGGGCCACCCTGCAGACAAACCCGGGGACGGGCTGGCCAGGCTGGTCCCGCACGCAACGGATCCCTGCAGCTGCCATGTCAGTGCCACGTGGCCCTGGCTGCCTGACGTCCCCCTCGCAGGCCTGAGTGGGCTGGGCCTGGCCGAGGCTTTGGCTTTCCTCCGAAACAGGGGCGCTCCCGGGCTCCTGCCCTATTCTGCTCTTGGGGGCGTGGACAGGCTGGCTAGCGACCGGGGCAGCCCAGCGTGAAGGAGAGGGCAGGGGGCACGTTTGGGCCCACAGCCTATGGGGGGACTTCCAGTGGGTGCCCCCTGGCTCGATAAACGAAGCTGGCAGAGAGAGGGGCAGCTGCACCTACCTCGGCGAATAAGGCCCTGTAGTCGATGAGCTCCTCTGGGCTGCCGGCCTGGGGCCTGCTTGCATCCAGCAGCTCCTGGAGCTGCTCGCTGCTTTTCAAGGGGAAAGCTGCCCTCAGCGCCGTGCTGCAGGGAGAGAGGGGACCCCACAAACACAGTGATGGGCGGGGCCGTAGCATGTGCACGGACCCCCCCCCGGAGCATGGCTGCGCCCTCCCGCCATCTGTGCAGCCGGCTGGTAGCTGCACCCCCAGCCCCAGCCTGCCCGGAGCAATGGGGGCAGGAGCTTCCGAAGTTCAGCCCCTTGTCAGGCACCCACGCGGGGGCCATGTTTCCACAAGAGCCGGCGTAGGGCTGAGCTCTGGGGCAACCTGGGCCTCCAGGGGGTGCCGACAGCCAGCCTGGCTCTGTAGAGAGGCCTGGGCTGGTGCATGGATGGCTAGGGAGCCGCTGGGCTCTGGCACACGCCAGGCCCCACAACGGGGGCTCACCTGGGCACAAATCCACACGAGAGCCCGCGCACAGAGATTTCAGCTGAGCTCTGTGCCCAGTCGCTGCCTGTTTCCCTAAAGGCCCAGGCTCCCAGCTGTGCCCCAGTGCACATGAGCCCGTCTCCCCGAGGGCGTTGCCTGGGGGCTCCAGACGCAGGGGCTGAGTGCCGGGCAAGCCGTCCCTGGACGGGATCTGACCCCCGGCCGTGCCACGTGGCATCGAGGCTGCTCTACACCTGAACCTTGGCACAGCCGTTAGCAGAGGGGCAGGGTTCTGCCCTCAGACAGACACAGAACCTGTGCCGCAGCCTCTGGGGGGGAGCGGGGTTCTCGGAGGGCAGGATGTGCCCAGGGGTGGGGCTGGAGCAGGAGAGCTCTCTGCTGGCACGGGCACAGCTCACTCCGCAGGGGAGAGCCCTCGACCTGCCCGTCGGGGCATCCCAACATGCCCTGCGACTGGCCCGTTCCCTGCCGGCGCTCTGCCTGGTGAGTCTCCCGAGGCCCACAAGCCTACGCTTTAAGGGAGTCGCTGGGCTCCGTGGAGGGGGGACTGGGGGGGGGGTAAG